GGAAGGCCGGGACCAAGTCAAAGGAGCCCTTTTGTTCTGGAGCAGGGAGGAATGTGTACAGAACACAGACACCCCGGCTAATGGCCAGGCTGGCCCCAGGGTGACTTACGGGGCCAGATGCAGGCCTGCTCCCCTGCTCCCTGTACATTCAGCTCCACAATGAGTGCGAAGCAACACATTGCAGCTGTGTTCCAGGGTTAATGGGGAGAGATCAGATTCCTGAACCCTCCAGTGTGAAATAACCAGCTCCCCACAGCAGCCTCAACAGGAAAAGCAAAGCAACTTCAGGCGTCTATCACAGAGTCTGTGGTTCAGTCACTCTCCAGGGACTTCGCCTGCTTACTCTGCTGCAAGGCTTTCATTTTTGTGCGTTCAAAAACCTGAAGAATTGCTTTTCACTGTGCACAACCAGTTCCAGAAAATGTATACTCAAGATGCACCCGGTCGGTCAGGAGGCAGGGTGTTTGCCGTGCACACAGTCAGTTCGATGTCCAGCACCACACACAGTTTTCTGGGCGCTGCTGGGTGTGATCCGAGCCTAGTTTTTAAAAAGATGTACTAGGTGACCACAGAGATGCAGTGAAAGGGGGGTGCGGGGTGCTATGGCAGTAAGGGTGTTTGTGGGGTGGGAAGCTGGAGAGAGGATTCCTACAGATACCTTCCAAAGCTTGAAACAAAGGGAGAAAGGGAGTCTCTCCTGCAATGGGAGAAAGAGTGCTATTATCTCTCCCCAGAGAAGAGGAAGAGGAAGGGCAGCTTTCCACAGGCCATAATTAGAGCAGAAGGAGGAAGGAAAAAGAGAAAAGAAAGGCCCAAATCTGCCACTAAGGAAGCAGCTGGGGCTGGAAGTGTCACCAGCTGGAGCCGAAGTCCTCTCAGGCAGCCTAAAAAGGGGTGATCGGGGTTAGAGCGATAGTACAGCAGGTAGGGTGTTTGCCTTGCACGCGGCCGACCTGGGTTCGATTCCCAGCAACCCATCTGGTCCCTGAGCACCGCCAGGAGTAATTCCTGAGTGCAGAGCCAGGAGTAACCCCTGAGCATCGCTGGGTGTGACCCAAAAAGCAAAAATAAGTTAAATAAATAAATAAAAAGGGGTTATCACGGCTGGCAAAGAGATTCTGGAGGAACCTGGACTTGCCAAAAAGTCCCAGGTTTCCAGCCCAGGCTTCCAGTGACCTAGAGGACATTCACTTTCTATGGGCGAACAATAGACACGGGCTCTGCACCTTCCACACCTATGTCCTAATCAGCCCCACGACAGAGGCAATCGCCCAAGCCTGCTGAGTCTCAATGCCCAATTATGAAAATAGAGGCAAAAATCCTAACTTGCACAGTCAGGTAATGATCAGGTCCAGATGACAACTACCTGTTCCTGTCGAACCACCTAGTCAAGAGACAAATGTTCTGGTAAGGGAACGAAACCAACAGCAAGTGAACACAGAGGAAGTGATGGGACCAGGTAACTCTTCCACGGAACGGTGACTGTGACTAAAAGGAGCACATCATTGGTGCCATTGGGAGTATTCCACAGAAAGAGTTTTCCTCATCACCGGCTGACTCTTGGAACACATTTTCCAACTGGGTGATGGTTCAAAGAAATAGAGCATATGCTCTGCACATGTGTGGCCCAGGTGCAGTTAACTACACCATGTGCCCTTCCCCATACCGGCACCGCCAGAAGCAACCCAAGAGAACTGAGTTAGAAGGAGAATCTAAACTGTGCCAGTGTAGTTCAAAAATCAATCAGTAAGTAAATCTCTCTCATTTCTCCTTTTCTTTCCCCTCTCTCTCTCTCTCTCTCTCTCTCTCTCTCTCTCTCTCTCTCTCTCTCTCCTCTCTCTCTCTCTCTCTTCCCCCCATATCTGGTATGGATGCTCCGGAGTTACTCCTGACTCTGCATTCAGAAATCACTCCTGACAGTGCTCAGGAGACCATATAGGATGCCGTTAACTGAACCCAGGCCAGCCAGCCACACGTAAGGCAAGTGCCCCACCCACTGTACTATCTCTCCAGTCCAGATCATTTCTCTCTGTGAAAGCAACATAACTACCCTTAAATGTCCAGGGCTCATCCTCTCCTTGGGACACTGTGAGGCACACTGATGGGCTACTGTTGGCTTCACCACTTTCTTCCCTCCTCAATGAGACACCAAGCAAGGAGACACTGGGCAAGGCTGCCACGGCCATTGGGATCCCAGAGAACCTGCACACACACACGTCTGGAAAGCAAGACCTCTCTTAAGGAGATTCAGCCGCGATGAACAGGGCAGGGTCCCACTTACCCAAGCTAAGACAGCGGGCAGTCACCAGGCCTCACAAGCAAAACAAAAGGGATTCCAGCAACCCTGTGATTCTGGTTTGCTGCTTGTGTAATAGAGAGAAAGAAACACCTTCCTCCCCTGAGCTCATGCACTGCAGACTTCTGCCTGAAGACTCAACACCCCAGGAAATTAAAAGCTGTTTCCGAGCCTAAGAGAAATCCCAGCATTCAGGAGCATTTTGAAGCAGGCGACACTGGGCATTGGGACGGGGTGGGGTAGCCCCAAGGCGCTCAAAGTTACCCCTGGCTCTGCTCGGGGATCACTCCTGATCCACATCTGATATCAGAGACTGAATCCAGGGTAGCCACATGCAAGGCAAGTGTCTTCCTGCCTTCAGACCATACTGTCCTCCCAGTCCAAAGCAAACTTTAAATGTGCTGGTGTTTTCAAAGTAGAATCTCTGGAAAGAACACATCCTCACAGAAGCAGTGAAGACTGAAAACCAGCTCTCTCTGGGAGACCCTTCTGAAGGTGAAGCCATACAATACGCACTACCCCACGCCACCCCGCGGCTGAGTTTTGAGAGTAGACGTATCTATTTCAGCAACTAGAAGAGTTTGCAAAACCTGACAAGGATGAGTTGGTTTTTTAGCACTCTTACTGAAAAGGGAAGTTGTACGTGAAACAAAGTCCAAGGAACCAGAACCCTTATTCCAGGTCAGCAGATGGAAGACTCACTGTAATGGGACTCGCTCTAAGTCACCAACAACCTCTGCTGACTGGGTCCTACAACAGACTCAGCCAAGGATGCCCTGGATAGCAAAGTAGGAAAGTAATTTTTGACAATCGGACATTGTGGTTTCATGCCAGGCTGCTATTAGAAATACAGTGCCAGAGTACTGGCTCGGATCCAGAGTCATAGCTGTTCTGAACTAATGTGCACATCTGTAAAATGGGTGTATCAACAGACTTGGGTTTCCTCTCCTGACTTCCCTTCACTCCAGCCTTACATCCTCCTTCCTAAGCCCTTTTTGAAAAATCCCATCAGTAACATCTCCTGCAGCACAGGAACATACTTGACCCTGCAATCTTGAGCTTCGAGGGTGTATCTGTAAACAGCTTCACTCAAAAGGATTACACAGTGCTCCTCTATTAAGAGTCAGCTACACTAGTACTACAACCATACCGTTTACATGCAAGGGCGTTCTGTACTGCAGAGAGCCTCGGCTGAAAAACTGACCACTCCGGAGGCTGGAAGACAGCGGCAGCTAGGAGCAAAGGAGGTCCAAGATCCTGCAATCTGCTGCCCTCCACACATCTGTAAGGTGAGGCAATTACCCCAGGTCGCTTTAAGGTTGTTATCTGCACCCAACAAACAAGAGTGAATGAATACACGCAAAGCATTCAGCACGAGCAAAGAGCGGCGGGGCTATTGCCACGCTATCACTTCGTCTCGAAGGTCAGCATTACTTTGTGATATTACTGCCTCTGCCTCTGAGGTCGGGAGCCTGGCCTCCTGCCAGATTCCGGCGGCAGCTGCGCGCACAGAGGCATCTCTCCTCGGCCCCGCGGGCTGGAAGCACCGCCCCGTCCCTCCCAGCCAGCCCGCAGGAATGCCTTTCTTAATACTTGTTGATTGATTTGCAAATATAGCCTCCCAGGTCCCCAAAAGGGAAGAATCTGGAGCACAAGCAGGTATCTTTTAGAAGCAGAACTGCGGCGCTTCCAAAAAGCCTGCAGTGCAGAGACGAAGAGCCTACAGGAAACTTCACCGAGAAATGCCCAAAGGTGCCCCGGAAGGGCGGGCTGCCAGCCCCTAACTTCCACAGTCACATTTCCAGCGTCTTCCAAACCTCCTGGGAGACCGTTTACATGTCACCAGGGGTGGGGGAAGCACAAGAAGTCAGAAGATCAAAGTGTGCGTGTGCGTGCACGTTCGTGTGTGTAAGGGGGGCTGCGTGCGTGTTGGGTGTGTGCGTGTGTACGCGCGTGTGTTGGATGTGTGTGTGTGGGTGTGTGTGTGTGTTGGGGGCTATTGGGGGTGTGCGCGCGCGCGCGTGTGTGTGATGGGAGTGTGTGCGTGTGTGTTGAGGCCGTGTGTGTTGGGGGGTGTTCGCGCGCGCGCGAGTGTGTGTTGGGCGTGTGAACTGGGAGTGTGCGTGCGTGCTGGGGGGTGTGTGTGTTGGGGGGGTGTCGGGGTGCGCGCGCGTGTGTGTGTGTGTGTGTGTGTTGGGGGGATGTGCGCGCGTGTGTGCGCGTGTGTGCTGGGCGGGGGTCCCAGCCCACATCCATGCTCTGAGAAGGGGAGTGGAGATGCCGAGTCCCTTCCCGCCGCGGACTTTCGAATCAGGGCGGGCTCGGACCCCGCTCCTCGGACGTGTCAGGCGGCGGCGGGACCCAGGTCCGCAGTCGGGCCCGAGCCCCGACTCGCGCCCCGCGCCGCCGCCTCCAGCCCGCGCCCCGCGCCCCGCGCCCCGCGCCCGCCCGCCGCCTCCAGCCCGCGCCCCGCGCCCCGCGCCCGCCCGCCGCCTCCAGCCCGCGCCCCGCGCCCCGCGCCCCGCGCCCGCCCGCCGCCTCCAGCCCGCGCCCCGCGCCCCGCGCCCCGCGCCCGCCCGCCGCCTCCAGCCCGCGCCCCGCGCCCGCCCGCCGCTCCAGCCCCCGCCCCGCGCCCCGCGCCCCGCGCCCGCCCGCCGCCTCCAGCCCGCGCCCCGCGCCCCCGGAACAAAGAGCCGCCCGGTACCTGCACGATCCGCGCCGTCCCGCGGGGCGATGGCCGCAGCGGCTGGGCCGGGCGGGCGGGCGGACGGGCGGGCGGCGCGCAGGCCCGTCCTCCTGGCCGGCCGCCCGCGCCCCCGCAGGGCCCCCTCGAGGCAGCGCTCGCAATCGCCACCGGCCGCGTCCCAGCCGCGTCCCGGCCGCGGGCACCTGGCCGCGGCGCCCGAACAAAGCGGCACATTTCCTGGGGGACCCAGGGCAGGGGCCCGGCCCCCCGCAGCGGCCAGGTGGAGACCCGAACCCTGGGGCACTGAGCAGCCGGCTCGCAGGGGTCACCGGAGGTCTGCGCACAGATCACTGCTTCCCGGAAGCTAGGGCTACACACGTGCACACAGGCGCACACACTGGCACGACCATGGACCCGCACACACACACATCCACTGAAACACACGCACACACCTACACATTCCTGTCTACACAGGCACAAGCATGCACACATCCACACCCACACTCAAGCACACACAAGTGCACGTGCATGCACACACCCATACACCTACCCACGCACGCAGGCACACAGCACACGCATATGCGCACACACACACACACCCTGATCCACAAGCACGTACAGTTCCATACATGCACAGCACACGCACCTCATCTGGCCCCCCGCCTGTAGCTTACAATCCACTCTCCTGGTTTCCTGAGGACTGATGGTTGTGATGGAGGTCCTGCTAGTTTAGGGAAGGGGCAGGGGAAAGTTTAGAAACCACATGATTTCTTAAAATCAACTTGCAGGGATAGTTTTTCAGTCAGGAGCCCCAGTTTCTGTCCCCAAGACCTCATGGTCCCAGAGCATGGTAACCAGAGCACTCAGCACTGCAAACAGCCCCTGGGTGCCACTTGATATTGGCCACCCACCTACCCATCCCACCGTGCAAATAAGCAGAGGGCGACAGAGCAGAATGTGACTGACCAGGAGCAGGACATGCCCAATTAGAAAGACGCTCTGAGCAGGAGGGACAGGCAGCAGCCAGCTCTCCCGGATGTGAGAAGTCACCACTAGTGGGTCCTGCCTGAAAGCAGTGCAGGGATAGTACTCTCCCATTTTGCAGATGAAGAAACTGACTCAAATTCCTAATGGCTTGCCAAAGTTGGTCGGGATAGAACACAATAAGGAACCAGGAAGAAGAGTTACCAATTTCCAGTTCCTCTGTAATAGTATTGACTCTTCCACCAGACCAAAGGCTCCCAAACTTTGGTGACCTACTGCCCTAGAATTATATTTGAGAAAAATACACCTTCTTAAAGGACCAAACAGAAAGTGCCAGCCCATCCCACCCCAACTGTATCAGAGGCTACTTCTTTCTTTCTGGATCACTCCTGCATGACCCCAATCGAGGCATGAGAAGGGCTGTTTCTCCCACTGTGGGAAATCCTCCACTAGACCAGCATTCTTCAGCCCGTTGGCTCCCGTGAAGGATACTTACCCTGCACGTAGACTAGCCATTGTAACCAAGGAGGTAGGTCAGTGATTTTTAACCTTTCTTCAGTCAGCACCGCTCCAACGACCAGTGGTGGAAAGACACTGCACTAGACCACAAGGTGCCTTCAGAGCAGAGCCAACCATGTGTAGTCGGGACTAGCAGGAACAAGAGCTCCCCCATTTCTGCATTCTGGCATCCAGAATGCATCAGGAAGTGCAGGTTGGTGACCAAATAAATTACATGTTCATAACCTCCTGCAGAAGCTTTTGTAAATGTGCCCAAGATCTCACAGCTAGAAAACTGGGCTTCCTTTCACCTTGTTTGGTGAAATAAGTTTTCTCAACTTGTTCTCTTAACCTCAAGGTGGATCATCTGAAGTAAAGATGCTCAAGTCTGGCCCAGAAGCTCATTCAGACACTCCCCACTTCACAGACCACAACTTTGAGTCTTCAAGAATTTGAATAAAAACTAAGTATGCAGCAATTATCTGGAAGGAAATCACAATTTTTCCATGCTTACCCATCCAAAAGTATCTCAAATTTTAAAAAATCATCCTAAGCCAATTGAGCTGAGAGGAAAACATTCAGAGGCCCAGAGTGACTGTTTCCTTACCAGAGTGTGATGGGGAGGGACTGTCCTGGTACGAGTGTGCTGCCACTGTTCCTGGAAAGAAATCTTGGATGTTTGTCATTGCCACCAAGGTCTTGCCATGACAACCAAGATAATTTTGCATGCCTAGATTAGAAAATGTAGCAAGCGATGACTTGGTTATTTTTATTTCTATTCCTTGCACTGAAAAATTGTATTTCCAGAGTTGCTGAATGTTGGAAACATGAGCAGAGGTCTGCTTTCGTAGTTCTACAGTGGAGGGAGAGACTGTGGAATGGAAGGAGTGAGTCTGGGCCTGTGTTCTGTTTTCAGATCCCAGCTCTCTTGAGACCTTCCCGTTACACATCATTCTCTCCCTCTCCTTCTGTCTCCAGAGCCCCAAGTTCCAAGCCACTGCTCAATCCTCACCTTCTCTGAATGCCTGAACCTTTCATGAGTATGAATTCGTGGCAAAAATGCACATGCAAGTTTAGCCAAAGTAGACACGGGGAGCCTGGTCTCTGAGTGCATGTTAATACCAGGCAGTCCTTCAATATGGAAATAATGAGCTTCATACCTGGAAAAATGAAAGTTGGCAGAGATGTGAAGTGGCAGCCCACCATTTGGTAAGCACCTCCACCACGCCTGCAGAAGTAAGTTTAGAGCACATGGACTGGTCATTTAATGTGGGCCACTACCAGGATGGAGGGCAATCTCGGGCAACGCTATTTTCTGTGACTGAAACTATCGCCAAAGAGGGCTGATGTCCAAGGGTGATCTTCCAGTGACCCACCTAAGAAATATAATTAAGAGAAACATGGACAGCTCAATGCAATCCCAGGACCCACCATTTCCTACTTTGTCCCAAAGCAGTGCCTAGCACTGGACCTGCCTCAGATGAATGATTAGTTCCCTATCCATCTTGTATCCACAGTGGGACAGAGGTTCCCCACCTGTTGGTTCCCCTGAGAGCAGCCTGCAAATCAAATGGCACTGTGTTCCATCTTTACCATCCCGGGCACAGTGTCAGGTGCCTCTCCTTGATGAAAGCAGGGCCCCGTCCTTTCCGGTCCTCATCTTTGAAGCGGAGTCTGAGAAGTCTGAGGACAAACGTGATGACCACAGATTTGAAAGAAAGAAAGAAATCCTGTTCACAGGATGAATCTGGGATTCTGGGGAAATGGGCATCTGGGACTCATTGGTGAGCCCCCGTTAGCCGGTTTTATGTTCTTGCAGCCAGATATAATCTGAACAGAATCCTGTGAATCTATCTCTGCATTCCAAGGTACCTAGAGCAAAGGGCAGTAAACAGGTCCAGAGTGTGCACAGCCCCGGCTGTCCCTCCTCCCTGTTAGCGCTGACTGTGAGCCGGCACCATTTCCTCCCAGGTAGTATGGACAGGGTTCATGTGCCCTCCCCTGATCCATCTGAGAAGGGGACCCTGGAGTGGAGCCCCAGTTACCCTTGTTGCCCTTCTGCTTCTTACTTCTTATGTCTGCTTGCCTCCCCAGCACTGAGCTGATTTCAAGGGACACAGCAGAGACTAAGCATTGCCTGTCTGAATAAACAAATCTGAACAGTCCAGAAATTCCAAAATAGGTCAAAGTGACTGACACCATCCTTGATAGAGAAGAACCCCAGTCTGGGAGCAGGAAAGATTCCTGAACATCTCACCCACTGTCAGCCCATCCCAGGCGTGGAGGGAAGGGTCAGGACTAATCGCGTCCGCCCCCAGCATCAGACTGTGTCTGATGTCCTCTCTTGCTCCAGGGTCGGGTGACCACCTGTACTCTCGGGGAGCTGTGATGTCAGACTAGAGAGGAGCTGGTCTTTGAGGAAAAGAAAGACCAGTCTTAACCTCTGCCCAGGGTTTCCAGGATTCTCATCTTCCTCACAGGAAGAAATTTTAGGAGGATACCAAAAGTGAAGTAAAACAGTTTTGCTTAGAGGAAGTTAGAGACTTACGTTTTCAGGAGAGATGTGAGATTCTCCACAGGGGAGAGAGCAGAGAGTATAAATCTCAGACTGAGAGGTGGGCAAATCTCCAAGACAGAGACCGTTCCATGAAGTAAATCAAAAGAACGCAGCCTGCCAACACTGGCTGTTTCCAGGCTTAGATATGGTGATCTAGAGGACATGATGCTGAGTGAAGTCAGTCAGAAGGACAGGGGTAGACCCAGAGTAAGCTCTCTCAGACGTGGGATTTAAAGATGCACAGTGAGGTCAGCAAAGGGCCAACTGACCTACACAACTGAGTTTCCGTGGGAGAGCGAGGGGGTACACTGGTGATGGGTGAGGTGTTGGAATTATAGGCTGGAGAAACCACTATTGTAAATTGTAAATCACTAAATCTCAATAGATAAAAATTTTAAAAAGAAGAACACATCTCATGGAGACCACCAAGATGGAGAATGCACCCAGGTCTTTCTGTATAAAATTGCTTTTATTGGTAAGCCTTTTCCAAAACTGCCTGTGTCTGAGGCATTCTTCATAGCCTGGGGCTTTGTCCATGGGGAAGAGTCTTGATCGTCTTTTCCAAATTCTTGTCACAGCCCTTTTTGTTTCTCTTCTGACTTTTCCTTTGCTGAGTGGATCCACCTTTATTGAGTGACTCCTCATTTTCTGCATCTCTGAAGAGCTCAATATTTGCATTTCGAGGAGGGTGAGGTCTTCTGGTTTCAAGGCTACTTCAGAGGTAACGAGAAGGCAACTTATTTTATTTTTCTAAATTTTTAATTTATTTTCCTTATTTCCTGAAATACTCAGAGCCAAGTGCCCAGCTGCTGCCACCACCCTCCATTCCCCCTCCCAACCCCCCCCCCCCCCACACACACACACACAGGCTGTCTACCTGCCTGCAACAAAAGGAAAATAGAAAGACCCACCTTTAGGCTTTCTGGGAAGAGAAAGACTGACCTGAATCTGACTGGCCTCTGAATCTGACTGACCTGTACTGGGACCTGGCCAGTCAGCCTGCCCTGGAGCTCAGGATTCTGTGGTGATTTCTTGTGTCCACAGCAAGTGACTCCTAACCAGGTGGGTGAGTCAACTAGTA